GGCTACAGGCCTGAATTTTTTTCAGGTCTGATTTTCACTATTGCTTAAATAGTGCTTTACTGCGAAGGATCGTGCACATATACGTTTCATAACCGCAGTTCATATATATGTATTTCATATGTTTGTTGTTTAATACAGTCATGTTCCAATAAGGTAATAGGGAAACAATGGATGTGGCTGAAATACACAGAAATATATTTCAAGCTGTACCTGCGAGACTTGAAAAGAAGTTTGTAGAACGTATGATTTCCTTGATAATGAACTCTGACCAGAGGTGCTCTGTCCAAGTGTTCTTACAGCTGTTGATGATCCCTCAGATTCTGAGCCACATTGTGGGTATGAGCCAGACCTGAAGATACAATGATAGCAATGCACTTTTAGCAACCAAGAGTGACCAGCATCTTATTTCTCCTTACAATATCACCCCTGAATGACACATTAAGGTCAGGAGAATAAAGGAAATGATCAGTGTAAGAGTGACCAGCATCTTATTTTTCCTTACAATATCACCCCTGAATCACACATTAAGGTGACAATAAAAGAGGAAATGATCACCAAGTTAAGACTTGAGACAAAGTCATAATCTGTAGCAATACGACCAAATGAAAACGTTGATTTGATTCCAGCAGGTGTATTACATACAGGCCAATTGCAATAAAGTTCAGGACACGAGAACAAACCTCATAAAAAAAACCAAACCAAGTTGTTGTCTGCAATTTTACTTTTTTTGACACCTGATCGGCTTATTCAAGAAACATTTTGGTTCTATATATTTTTCTGAGTTTATAATCAAGCAAAATGAAAAAAAAAAAAAACCCTACAGGGTCCAAAATATGGAAATATACAATCTGACCTGCCAATTTCACCCTTAAGCTTAAACAAACACGAAGGTATCACTTTGGATCCATGACTAAACCTGAACACTTCTTGAAACAAAAGTGCAGTACTGATAAAAGCACCCTTTAGCTTACCAAAGAGTAGCCCCCTACCCCCCCCTGGGAAACCCCCAGGCTTTTGCACTTTTGAAGATTGGCTTGTTCATATTCCTGCCCCCTTACCCTTAGCCAAAATTGCATTCAAATGCCCCACCCAAAATTGAACCATTCTTTGTGTGAAAATTACCTTTCTAAGCAAAACAAAAGCAAACTCTTAACCTTTCAACTCCTTCATTGAAACATGTATTATGCTGGAAAATTGCACAGATGACAGTCAAATACCTGTGGGTTGATTGGGGTAGAGACCTTGAAGCTTTGCATTGATTGCTGCATTACAGAATAGAAATCTAAAACTGTTAAATAGAAATATTTTATCCTAAGATTAAGGATAGGATCGATGCATTGAGCAACTAGCCACAAACAAGCCTGAACCATTGACAGACACATTCACTGCACACTTTCCTTCTCCAGCATTTACCTTTCCCTTTGTAAACTGACAACCAGCTGCTCTTGTCTTTTGAGTTGTTCAACAATTCTCTCACACTCAGCTTTTGCCAACTGATATTGCAGCAATGCACGAGCCTCTCTTTCTTCTGCCTTCTTTCGAGCTTCCTTCTCCTTTTGCAGATCTGCCAGTGCCCTGTCACGTTCAGTTGTATCAATGGCCTTGATGGCTTTAGTGTAGATATTTCTGATGTCTTTTTTCCTTGCTGGTGCATTGCACTGTGGACATTTGTCATTTCCTCCCTTGGCTTTCAACCATCTTTCAATGCAGCTTTCAAAAAGAAAAAAAAAACAGAAAGAAACAAAAGATAAGATATGTTTTCACTTTAACATCAATAAATTAACTCACTACATAATTAAAATCTTAATAACTATCATTTTTTAAATTGGGATCCTTTTTTTACGATATTCTTGTGTCTAGCCTAGATCTATGCAAGGAGTCTCTCAGCAAGGGCTAACTGCTTGAACAGCAGATGATCATTGCACCTTTCCCTTAATACACCTTCAATGTGATCAAAACATTTACCTTCTTCCAAAGAGATGCCCACAAGTGAGAGATGACAGCCTGTGAGAGCCTGAGTTTGACCATGGCTCAAAGCAAATTGGACAATTTTGGGACTAGAAGAGAAGAGAGAAAATTACACCTCTGAAGCACACATGGTCATGCTTGAGGTAAAAGCTACTGTATCTAAAACTAAATACAGCCGGATGAAATTTTCAGACGGTCCATGTAAAAATCACCTTTTCACTAACATCTATAGCCATTAAGGGATTAGAAACATAGTGCTAACATTCCCCATTTCCTGAATTAAATTTTTTTTAAAACTATTTAATAAAGTTAGCCAGCAACATTGATAAGAGGGGATTGAGTTGGGGTTGTTTTCGTGAGATCACAAACATGACAATGACTACATTGTAACCCGTTAAGCAATATGTCTGCCTTAATTTTGCTATTGATTGCAGCTTCGACTAAACAAACTTACATCCTCATCTTTCTCGGGTGATTTTATCGGCGATCTGGAATTTTTAGCTTTTACAGAAATGTTTTTTGTGCCTGTTTTCGAGGACTTCTGTTGAAAATCGTCCGGGGAATTCACTGCTGAAACTCCAACAACTTGTACGCTTCTGCCAACTGCCGGCGTCACATTTTGAATTGACGACTGCACCTCTGATTCATCTAGCACGTTATTTTCCTCGCTTGGTTGCTGAACGAGTTCGCTTTCATGTTCATCTCCCCCAGAGTCCACCTCCATCTCTTGTTCTTCGCGGTCCGATTCGTCCTCCAACTCCACGATGTCCTCATTTTCACGGTCATTTCGATCATATGAAACAATTTCTACAACTTCAACGTCATCATTATCAGGATTAGAAGCCATTGAACCTCTTTAAAAAGTGGAAAACTCCTATCGTTTCATAATTCCGATCGAATGTTCCTATTCATTGATATTCACAATACCCGCCATTTTCAAAATGACGGATCCGAGCAACTCTAATCTTGTTGGGTCTGGGTCTAGTAAGGCCTAGTCCCTCAGCGTGACGATGAAGCGCGTGGGTCGGGGGCGAAGCGTACCTAAAAAGATCGAAGTAACTTTCTGAAGGTGAGTATTATTGTCAATTGAGACACGCTGAATTTGAATCTTTATCTTTCATTGAGAATGTTGCCTTTTCCATCTTCTCGGCTTTAGGAGATTAGGAGCTTCCCTATGAAGTTATTATCACAAAATCAGTCACACGACGACTTCACACGAGTATTTTTGTCTCCATCGCCCCACTACTAACTTGTAGAGTCAAAGCTCTTTTGATAGAGCAGTATATACCATATTATTAAAAACTAGATCATTGAATAATGCAATTCTAGACTTTTTATTGCCTTAGCCATTATAGTATATCAGCCAATATACCATAATCTACAAATATGGTAAGCGTACGTGGCAGCTTAAAATTAAAAGGGAGCTAAAAATTTAATAAAATTTAATAATTTAATTTAACGTTTTTAATAAAACAATTATTCCACTCGCGCTTGTTGGATATGAGATGATTATAGCCAACTCGGCGCTACGCGCCTCGTTGGCTATCTATCATCTCATATCCAACGCGCGCTCGTGGAATAATTGTTAATTATCATTTCGTCTTAAGCAATCGGATACTTTCGGGTCAGGAATCGACAAAGCCACAAATGAAAATAAGAAACTACGTCGACTTCCGAGAATTACATATATCTGAATCAAATTTATGATTTTTATAGAGCTACTGATCGTTTTGACGGGTGTTTTCAACCTCGATCCATGTTACATTTGACGAAAAATGTGCTTTGTCTTGATTTTCTGCCCCATACCTCACACATGGGTGCACGACTATGATCCCTTTCTCGGAAAATTTCATCTTTTGTCTCTTTTAGCCTCGGTGAGTACTGAACATGTAACTCCTACGCAGTTATATCAATAAAAGGGTGCTATCTCGGTGTAAAACCGAATTCCCTTGGTAGCTAATGAGGAGAACAGGTCTTGGGAGTTTAAAGTCTTACGACACAAAGAAAGAACAAATTAATGGACAGCTTAATTATCTTTTGACGGGTAAATTTTATTCGCCTTTTCAGAGAAATTCAACCAAATCTGTTTGTCTAACTTTTTTCTATTCAAGGTCCTTTTGATGTTTCTTACTCCCTTAGCTGCGTGAAAAATCATTTTTTCACCAGCCTCCCTAACGTTAGATATCCAGAGCTTAAGACGTGACAAGCGTAACCATGTAAACCGTGAATTTCCTCTTTCAGAGACAAACTGTGTCTCTTCATAACGCTCTGTCGTCGACAAACCTACTATGAACAATAAATAATTTTGATATCAAAGTTCATCGACGGCGTTCAACATTGCCTCTCTCGCTCTGCAAAAAAGAGCGATGTATCTGATCAAATTTTCAGAACCAAACAAAAGAGTAAAGAAATCACAAGAAAAATTTGAAAAATGCGACTAAAACAGTTTGAGTTTGAAACTAAAACGTTTCAATGAGAGAGCAAAGTGTTTCTTACAATGGTAAGCACGAGGCTATCCCAGTTCGAATAGTATGCTCAATCATACTTCTATAAAGCGCCGTTTAGTGGCCTCTTTGTGCTGGGCGCCTTTATGATTGCTGATTTCTTAAAATTTCGCTCCACCTCAGACAAAATCTTGTCAGAACCTCCTCGCTTAGAAACATGTTTTCTTTAAAATTGAGATAAATAGACTACTTAATGTAGAAAAGTTAAACTATGGTCTCTCTGTTTGGGTCCAGTAAGTGGATCCACACATCATTAGCACAGCCGCTATAATATTCCAGCATGCATTCCTTTTGATTTTCTAACTTTGGCATTGATAAGTACTTTTCAAGGATAAAACCAAGTCCTGAGCTGGTGGATTGCCTCTTGCAAATATCACTTTCCAAGACATTTTCTACTAGTGGTACAGTCAATTCTTTCTTTTCGTAATCTTCTGATCCCCTTTCGGATTCAGAATAAAATGAACCAGAGTCAAGAGTCCATGATCTTGTAGCCTCGCTCGAAGTAGATGATTGAATACGTTGCCGAAAGCCATATGTACGCGAGCGCAACTCCTCTTGCACTTCGGGTGGAAGTAAAAAAGGGACCAGAAATAACAGGCATACTCCAAGTGTCGTGAAAGCGCCGGCCATGTAAAATGCAGGCTCATAACTTTTGGAAATTGCATACATCCAACCTGTGAACATAAAGACATCAATTTTTCAACACTTCTTTTTGGTGAAAATTGATAACTGTAAGGAATCCCTTATACCATTTTAACTTTAACTGTTTTACAACCCTTAGGAATTTTCTACGCATTTTCCTAACGTCTGAACATTAAAGAAAACAGTAAATTTTTAGACGCTTCTGGTTCTTAACGGGAAACACAGGCAAAGAAAAACGACAGAGGGTCGATAAGATAAAACAGCTCAAGAAACCTACAGCTGCAAATAATAGTTTAACACACAAAGTTTCCAATCTTTTTATCCCATCGATAATTTTAGTAAGCAAACTGAACCACCGACGAGCTGTTGGTTATCTCCTGGGAATACGAGGTTAGTTAACAACTATTCACCGAAGTGGAGGTGGTTAGTGGTGGATATTTACCGAGCCGCGAAGGGGCGAGGAAAATATCCCCCGCTAACCACCGACACTGAGGTGAATAGTTGTTTTAGTATATACTAAAACAGTGAGATAATATACACCACCAAAAATTTATTTTAATTCATAAATTCCAGCAACGATTCCAACATTTTCCCGCGCGTAACGATCCAACGCGGCTCGGATCGCGGTAAGTGATTTTTTGTTGTAAAAACTGCCGTCACGTTTTTTCGCTGACAGATAAAATTTCGAAAGACATTTGTTTAGCTCTGGAGGCGACATTTCTTCAAATGGTGTTGCAAACTCTTTCTGTATTTGAAACCATTCTTTAAAAAATACCATTCAACTTTGATTTTCAAGTGAACAAGTGAGGTTACGCAAGATTAATTTGCATTTGTAAACAAAACCTTTTTCGTTGGTTTTTATCGATAAACTCCCGGTCACCATTACCTTAAAACACGGCCAAACCAAATTTAGTCGCTTTCTCTGTGTTTTCGGGGACTGCTTCGTCGTTATTTGAGTGATTTATTCGTTTGTCACGGATGCAGACCGGCACGCCATTTTTTCCCGAGTTGCTCGGAGGTAAATAGCAAAGGATATTCGGAGTTTGACTGGCCAATCAGAGCGCGCCTTCAACGCTATCCACTGTTTTAGTATACACTAATCAGTTCTATCCGATATATATGGTCATAATGACTCCGCTATCCAAAGGTCATAATGACTCCGCTATCCAAAGGTCATAATGACTCCGCTATCCAAAGGTCATAATGACTCCGCTATCCCAAAGTCATAATGACTCTGCTATCCGATGGTGTACGTTCAAGATGCTATGAAAAGTACTCACTCGCTACTGGAGGCCCAAGCATCATCGGAATACCGGTGAAGAAAAACATGACACCATAAGCTGTCCCCATCATCTTCCTCCCAACTATGTCCCCCGTGAGAACGGCAATTAAAACGACAAAACAACCATCGTGAAAGCCAAACACGAGACAGTATGCTAACAAAGATCTGTAGGTGGTGAAAACAGGGAGTAAAGTGGTGAGAACGCTGCACACAAGTAGACATAGTTGGTAGAGGTACACACGATTCACGCGAGGATGGTCTGCTATTCGACCGAACACGATCTTTCCGAGGGTTTGGGACATCGCCATGTAGCCAACCAAGACTGCACTGTCTTGTTTTCGTATTCCAAGGTCTTGTCCATGTCGAACCTGTGAGAGATTGGAAAGCGCGTCAAGAATAGCCTATTCCAGATAGTAATAAATCTTCACTTTCCAAAGAGTTGGATTGAAATGGTGGTACAAATTGTGTGGGCTCATGAAAGCTTTTCTTAAAGAATATCTTGTTTAAGTTGAGATGGTGATATAATGGTCCACTCCACCGAAAAAAAAACATCGTTACATTGCAACCAATCAGGTAATCCACTTTTTCCGCCTTTTTGGCAAATATCCCGCGCTTCTGGCCGCTCGTTTCCCGCCTTTCCCTAAGGTCAACCCTCTTTGCTATATGGAGTGCAAATTCCGAATCAGATTTTAAAAATACTTTCAAGAGTGAGGGATATAACGTTACTTTTGCTGGGGCAATCAGCAAGAAAAAAAAAGTCATTGAAACTAATTTAGGAGAATGAGCTCTCATGAGTAAGAGATGATGTGTTGCGATCAGTCTTGAAGAGAGAGAACATTAAAGTTTGACTTACCAAGTGTACGTATGGTATATAAAAACCAAACAGCACCAATCCAACAACGACTATCCACACAATGTAAGCTTTGTTCTTGAAGAAGGATAAGTCGATTCGTTTCGTTTCCTCGTATGTATCATACTTCTCGGCATCGCTAAATTCCAACGGCGCGGGCACAAGATAGAAGATGAAACCGCTTATCAGGATAAGCAACGAGGTTGCACTGAGAATGCGAAGAGCATCGCGCCAATAGAAATTATCCAGCAGCAGGCTGAGTGCGGGCGCAAGTGTTATTGTTCCCACACCAGCTCCAGCCAGGCCAATCCCATTAGCAACGACCAGATTTTTGGAGAAGTACCCGCTGAGCACGAGAACTGAGGACACATAACACATGCTAGAACCCATGCCGAACAGGAACGAGTACGTCACGTACATTCGAAAGATGCTGTCGACGAAGGACGATAGTAGAAGACCAATCCCAACTAATATTCCACCAAGGATAGTGACTGCTTTGCAACCAAACCTCTTACACAAAGAGCAGCTCAGAGGTGACAAGACGAAAGTGAGGCCAAATGAAATTGAGGCTATCCACGCTTTGTAGAGAAATGGAAAGCAAATGATGAGTAAACAATACTGTATATAAAAAGGCGATTCATAAGCGAGTTTTACTGAAATCCAAGAATTCAATAATCGCACACTGCACTACTTAGGGTTCGCTTCACAGCGAGGCTACGCTGTTAGCAGCCAAAGAACCCCAAGACGAGCTGAGAATTTATTTACCATATAGGGGAGAAAATAATTGAAATCAAATCTTCCTTCAGAAATATCCAGTTATTCAATCATGAACGCATCAGTGAAGCGTGTTCCCTTTTGCAGCCGTTCCTTGGGATTTAAAGTGAACTTTGCCTGACTACTAAAGAAACTAGCGTAGGCCAAAGTTGTAAAGATGAGATGAGGAAAGCCTCATTTACCTGTAGTGGCCTTGCTTTCTCCAAACTCAGTCAAGAGATCAAGATACAACAGGCCAAATACATTGTGGATCCCCATGACAACAAACTGTGTCATGAACGATCCAAGAACTGCAAACCAGCTTAAGCCACCATCAAGCGTGCCAGGCACTCTCAAACTTCCTTTGATCAACATTTTTTCCCAAGCCTAGTGATTAAAAAAAAAACAACATGACGAATCAGTGGACGATGAAGAAAACTGTTATTGAAAACGAGCTTAGATTAAAAGGCTCAATGTTTCCCGTGTAACAAAGATTTTTTTTGCAAAACACAACTGGGATAAAATGAATTTTATACCTTTAGATGTACAACTCTTTGCATCCAGATTTGCTGAGCACAACTCTCAGTTTCATGGATATGACCAAGATGAGGCCAGAATTTTGTTTCATCGCACAAGAGCTATGATTCATTCTAAGAAGAATAAATGTTTTCGTAATGGAGATGTCAGTCAGTTTTTGCTTTTTGGCAAATAATTGCTTATTCACTGAGGATCTGAATTTATTCGAGATCTAACAAGACCAAAAATTACTTACCTTTTACAAAAGATGGCGGTAACCTCCAGTTCCTTACCAAACGATGCCTAGTTCTCAGATGTCCTCCACTCTGGGAACCAAACTAAAAAAAAACAGAAAGACAATCATGAAAATTAAAAGGTTTTCCTTGTCTTCGTGGGAATGGAGGTAACCTAACAGTTAGCCTGCGAGCAGACACCTCGTAAACCACTCTCACACCTCGCGTCGCTTGCCGGTTAGATACTCGTCGGCTTTGCGGCCGATGTCGCAGCTCATTAGCGCCAATGAGAGCCTGGAGCGACTGAGCTCCAAGCAGGATGAGTGCGTCGTGTTGTTGGATAAGAGACGCTCAAATGGTTTCTGTCCGCCCAAAGTTATAGTTGGGTTCCAAAACATAATTTCTCAGGGAACCGGCTTGACAATATGCGGATGTTAAGGTAATACTAGAAAGACTAACATTCCTTTTCAGGAAAGAAATACATCTTAGTCCCTATTTTCTATTAAAACGGCCTCGTAAGCAAACTTTTTCCCTCTTTCTTCAACCAGAAAAGAAAGTAAATTTAGAGTATTTTAGCAATAGCCGTTTTATCTCAAGGGATCCATCTCATCTCAGGCACAAGGGTTTTTGGAAACGATTCTCGCTTAATGCTCGCCTGAAATCATGTATCAATTATGATCTAAAACGTGGATGAAGCTAGACACTTTTTTTCTTGAAGAAAATTTCAAAATATTAGTTCGGTAAGAGAGAAAAACCGAAGAGGAAATAATAAACCAAGAAGGGAAAATGATGGAACAATGATGGCCAGGGATGGCCAACATTGCCCAAAGATGGCTAAGGGACCGTCAAGTCGTTCAAAGTGCACTGAGTTAGGGGTTTCTACAAGTAGAGGTTTGGGAAGGAAGAACGAGCTCTATAGCTGACTTTACTTAATCTGTGATCTTAGCACGTGACCTCACTTGGAATATAACAAGTATGGCGTGTAGTGACCAAACTCCAAGGTGGTCTGAAGGCCAAAGAGGTCAACTCAAATTTGATATCACATGACACAAACTATTGATAGCTCGCATTCAGTCTATTTTTTTTTTTTTTTTTTTTTTTTTTTTACTTTCAATGTTCTCATATTTTGTTTTAACGATCGGTACCTTTGAAAGTTTCAATTTGATGTCATCTTCCCACTGAGCGTGACATTTGTTGATATATGATGGGACTAACTTTCTTTAATATTTGTCTGATCAAATAATCTGTGTTGATCAGGAACGACATATAATTTTTTTCAGTAGTAAAATCACGATAAATAAGTAAATAAATCTGTATGTAGCGCGTAAACCTGTAATACAGGCACGCTACTACAACTGTTTGTACTAAAGAAAGATCTGGGAGAAAACCTAAACGAGAACCTGCTAGTTTCCAGGCGAGGAAGTAGTTTTCATTGATTCTAGCCGGCGACACGCAAGCTGCTCGAGTGATCAATTTCCGATAACGATAACGATCGATAGCAACACCATAATAGAGAGTTTTAGATTTCTATCTGATGTTTTGTCCAAAACTTGATAAAGACGAATCGAAGAGCAAACAGCGTTGTAATGTAACAGCTTTGACTTTGACTCAGTATGATGTCTTCGCCTTTTAAATTTTGACAACACACAGAGCACAGTCTTCCAGTATGGAGCAACTTAGCAGATTCGTGTCTGAATAAAAACAATTTTAAAGAAAAAGGTCTGATTTCAGATTTCGCCGACACATGTTAAATCTATCTATACCATGCCCTTGTGGTTTGAACTTTACCAACGCGGTCTCCATTAGCTTCCCAGCTCCACAAACAAATCTTTTCCTGCTGTAAATAAAACTGAGGAAATCTCGACTAAATTTCATAGAATAACAAAGAAGCGCACGAAACTTTAAGAATCAAAGTGTGTTTCACGTGAACCTTCCTAAACTGGTGTGAACATCTCCAAGAAGTTCACATCTGCGAAGCTTTATTCGAATGACATTCTGTGACGGAATCCTTCTTATCGAGGTTCACTTTCCAGGTGAAGTAAACATGTCGGTATAGAATTTGATTTAAGAGATGGTTAAAACTCGAAAAAACAATTTGAAGGGTGCTGTAAGCCGACAAAGGGGAGGTATTACACCTATCTTGAAAAACTCTGTATCTGTTTCTCCCTTCTTGTTAAGGGAGGCCCCGACCTCATTTTAGATTACCATTTCACCAGACGGACAAAAGAGAGTCAAAATTTTCGAACAGATTTTCTTTGTAGATACGGCCGATTTGAAATGTTTGAAGTTTAAAACAGACACAAACAACAGCCTTGAGGCAAGAGATCATTTGCGGAGTGTAAACGTTTCTTATTGGAAAAAACTTGCAAATATCTTTGGAAAGCATCCTTGAAAAGAACGAGGTTTGAAAATATTTCCACTACTACCTCTCATTCGGAAAATAAAATGCATTTTCTTCACTCTAAGTATCACATAACTATCAAACTGTGCATCGCCAAATTTAAGGGTTTAATGCAAACACAAGCGAGCTAAGCACACGAAACATCTTCCAACCTGTCATCGCATGAAAGCCTCAAGAATTCGATTACCTAACAAACTTCGGTGATGGAAATAATCAATTAAAAGGCCAAGGTTACAAATTAGAGGTGATGTCCTCTAACATTTCTCCACGTTGTGATCAAGTGGACTCACGTCCCACGACATTTGAAATTACTACGCGAATAAGCGACACCTCTTTGAGATCCCAGCCTCACATGATATTTCATGAACCATTTTATTAAAAGCCTTGATCAAATCTAGTTCACGTCGATTCCATTTTATGCAGCACTAAATTCTCCACTTATAATGAGTCAGGCGGAATTAATTCTATTTTAGTAACAATAAGTACTATAATTTTGTTGCTCCTTTTTCGGATTATACGCGTATTTTGTTGACATGCACTGTATGCCTTTCACACAACGCAGAAAAGCAGAAAAAAATTGACCGCAATCCTTTTGTGTTGAATCGGCTTTCGTTTCAAAACAACAAGCTAAAACGCGCTGCCAGTCACGTTCATGGGTCACTCACGAGCCCACGAAATGAGAATCTCCAGGCCAACTTCCTCTGATGTCATCTAGGTAGAAGAGGTACTATGAATTATAAAATTCAATATTACGGATCGCGGTGCCGACACGTACCAGATACTGGAGATCATGGTTTTATAGAACCAAGAGAGACCTTTATCCGGTTTAATACTGCCTGCGCATTTTAAGCGATTTTTCGTTACGCCCACGGTTTTTCCGGTGATAAAGCTAAGATCGCATTGTATTCGACTTTCTCTTTGACACTCTTACGCCCTAAGTCTCAAAAACCAATGCTGCGTTACGAAGGCGTGACTGCCTCTTTCGTTACCCTTTACTAGCGTTACATGATCCCAAGGACGCATTTGGCTAGATTTTCTTTCCAACACCGCTTCGTTTCCACTAAAACCTCTGGACACCAGACACCAAGTGATGGAAATTACGCATTGTTTGTATAGGGCATGACTTTTCCGGTTTCGTTAAGAACGTTTCAGCCTTAACCCTCAGGGGACCTAAACGTAGTTTACACTTCGCCTGACTCCTCCGCTTCGTTTAATAAACTTCACTCATCTCGATCTCTTTTTAAACCCAAAACGGTCGCCTCCTTTTTCACACTTGATATTTTTGTCACATCCTTACCAACCAAACATCAACAGCTTTCTCGGGAAGAACGCAAAACTGAAATAAATTAATTTCGTGTAACGTCCACTCATGCTAGACCAGATACAAATTCAAGGTTTGCAATTCGATGCCTGAAGTGTGTTTTGTTAGGAAACGTCGCAATTTTGTACAATATTTGTACATCAGTCTGATCTGAAAAGCAAAATAACGGTAGACACAACCAATTTTTTTATGATTTTTTTTAATTAGTTTTTTTTTTATGTATAGCTGGATAAGATAGACAGATAAAAAAGAAACATTCGTTTGTCAGCCTGTATCGGCTCGGATTAACATTGGGGGCGTTTCAGAATTACAGACTCCCCATGCTTCTCGGCAAATTTCCTTCCATCCTAAATCACCAGTAGATGCTCACTTCATTAGATAACTAGTCGTACAAATGTTGGTTGATGTTGCATGCTGATCATGCAATCTTGGCTCAAACGATACAGCATGGATTGCTGTATGAATAACCTTCACACAAACTATATTTCCATACACACCGATGAGAAGTGTAGACTTCCTTATCAAAGAACATACCCCAAGCGAGGTATTCCTTTTCATAATATTATCTGAGACCCAGTGAGGCAGTTCGGAGTTTATTTTTCATTCAGAGAAAATTACATGTATGTGACAGTTTGATAGCAACTGAGTTTCCGGTTTATTTCTGGTGAATTTCAGCCGACACAAAATTTCGATCCCGTCCATAGCAGTACAAGTGATATAAAAAGATCGGAATAGATTTAGTCAGAGTTTAATTTTTCTTTAACCTTAGCTTCAAAGACGCTGACTGTATAAGAAAACTTTAAAACTTTCCGCGCTCTTGCGGCGACAATTTATGGCGCGCAGGTTATGAAAGAAAAGAGAATGTTTAGGGTTTTACCCTGTAGGGTGAAGAGAGGGGTTTGCCCGGACGCCTTACGACTTCGTATTATTTAGCATTAATCTGTTAGCAAGAAAAGGTACTATAACTCTGGAAAAAACAACGTCAGGCCCAGTACTTGAAGGGCAAATATTCTCTACGCGTGACTTACTGGTGACTGTAAGAAAATGATTTCTGTCTCGGATCAATCCAAGCGAATTTTGATCAGTTGGAAGTCGCCGCAACCAAGAGAGCGAGTATTAGGAGAATTCAACGCGATCAGCAAGTTATCATCCACATGAATTTAAAAATTCTCCGAAAAGACCAACGCAGCAGGAGCACGAATATCTTAAGAAAGGCTTTGTTCTTCGTAAATTTTGTCTCCAGGTAAAACACTAAAAATCCAAATTGTGCAATTTAACTATACCATTCAGTATCACAAATGATTACAATTTTTGCATTAGGAAAGGATATAAATATCTCCTCTCTACGTATAACTCAGTTTGGTATGATCAGCGAGATCTTCTAAGATCAAGAAATCTTGTACCTTGTTTAGACAACTGAATCCGGTTATTTGGAAAATAGATACGATCGCCGGTAATTCTTTCGATTTGTTTTGTAAACGCATGAATCAAACAGCAGTCAACAAGAAGAGCGGGTAACTCCCTTGAAAAATCAACATGTTAGCGCATATGTTAAATGCCCAATAGATTTATTTTAAAACCGGTTTATAGAAAATAAAGAATTCTGGTTCTCCCTCAACTGAAAATATGTTGTGCCAAAGAAGAATGCACTCCTCTACTCTTGCTACTTTGCATCTATGAATTTCAAATCATGTAACATATCGCTTCAAGATGTAATTTAGCCTCTGTCAAATGAAGAAGAACCCTGAGTGAGAGCGCTAGCATAGATTTCCGATATAGCCTTGAGATTAATCGTATCCCCTCATTTCCACTGCATCGAACGAAGGCTAATCCAAGTAGACTTTGCCTAAAGTTCTTCAAGGAAATTCTTTTGTTTTATGAACGCGATTAGATCAAAGATGAAAATTTTTCTGTCTTATCATATATGTCCATAAATTATCTGAAGAGAAAGCAAACCACAGTGACCTAAGGGTCGAGTTGCTCTCATGTTTCTATTAAAAAAATTCATGCAACATGAAAGCCTGAAACGCGCGCAAAGCTACACTGCTTTTTTAGGCAACATCTTGCAATAACAGAGAAATGCGCGTATTCCTTTTTTATCCAAACGTCAAAACTTTAAGATCTTACGCGAAATGAAATCATAAGCAAGTCTTTGCATTTTTTAAGGTCGCGCAACCCAAGACTTCCGAATAGCTGTTGAGGCCCGCATAGGTTACCGCTAGACACGCATAACTTGCCCGATTTTCCACGCCATCGGCACGAAATAAAAGCATCAAGTGAGCCAACCGAAGACAAAATAAACTACCGCACTCAAAATCCTTACCTTGTTTGGCAATCGCGAAGTCCAGCACAGGCCGGCTTTCCGCAGTCGAAGGTGGAATAGAAGCGGATATTGATCATCTGCAGAGAGTACCCTGATGGTTCGTCACTGGTTTCGTCGGACCTGTTTAGCCGGCTTGTCCAGTCACTAAATTTAGCCGCGTAGGATAATGGGATACCCTTACTGCCTCCAGGGGTCCGTTATAAGTAACAGTTTAACAACACGCTATGGAACTTCCGAAGCCTCGCCAGGATGCATTCGCTTCGAAATTAAGCTTTCAATTCGTTCTCATTGACGTATGCATGCACAGAAAAGTTATGGCCACCAAAGCGAGCAAAACGAAATGGGATACGCTGTTTCCGCTACACCACTGTTTGCGGTTGAGTTTTGACCGATGTTTACCCACCGCATGCTAAAGGCCAAGAGCCGGAAATGAAACAGAGAGATAGGCGGCTTTCCTCGTCCTTCAAAGATCCGAATGGATTTTCCACGCATAGTCTCGAGACATGGAAACATCTCTATCTAAGAGAATCTGCGCGAAAATGTAGCTGCGAGATTCTGTAAGAAAACGTGTTATGTTTTCGCGAAGAATTCCCTCGAGTAGAAAGCTATTAACGTCGCAAAATGTTTTCTTTCGAACTTCGGACTCGAGAGGGTAGGTTTACTAACATCAGTAGCAACTGTCAATCATTAAACTTTTCCCGGGGGCTGGGTAAAGCGTAGTTAGAGACCAAGGTCACTAATAAATGTTCTCGGACTAAGAGAAAGATCCGTGACCCGAAATTGTACTGTTTTAATACGCAGCGCTCTGATTTCTATAACTTATCCCAGAACAAATTTCTTCAGCCTTGCCAATAACCACAGTATCTGCTTAAATAGCGGAATATATGGGTTCGCCTCCGCCTACAGATATTAGGGACCTTAGAAGCAACCACGACGGCGACGGCAACGAGGACGTAGAAAAACAAGAGATCTTATTTTTATTTTATTTTATTTATTATTTATTTATTTTATTTTATTTAATCTTTATTTAAACACGATTGTTCTTATCGGCAGAACAATAGCTCAGCACGTGCGTTTTGAAACTTTGTACATTTCTTAGCCGTCCTATGCAAAACAACAACGTGAAATCGCCAAAATTTGCGTCGTCTGCGAACCGAGACCGCAACGGCAAATTAATTCAATTTCCATTTGGGACTCAACGCTACTTCTATGCGTCATACTCCCTCCCATCCCTTCGCCGTCCTCCAAGCACGCGCTCGCACGCCTAACGGTCATCTAACGCGGAGAATCAATTTTGTCAGGGTGGGTATAGGGTAGATGGATCACAACTGACAGCGTTCCACATGAATGACATTAAGATTTTGACTGGATTTTTTGTTGTTCACCTTCTCTAATAAGGCAACAGCCATGTCTGCAACATGTTTCTAATGTCTGAAATTTCTATTTTTTTTTAATGGAAAATATCGACATTTCCTATGGATTAGACATTCTGAATAAGTGCGATGAAGACCTCAATTATCGGTTTGGGCTTAGCATTGTATCCCATTTCTAAGAGTGTTTTAATTCTGAAGAGATTTAAGTTTAAGCACGTACATAATGTCTCGGCAGAAAGGGAAGGGTTGTGCTGACATCCTTTCAAACAAACAAGCAGTCCACTACTCGTGACGTGAAGACTTCTCTGCGAAGTAAATTGCAACTTTACAGACATCTTTGATAAAGAGTTCGCTCGAGCAAGACAGTTATTTTTTATAGGGAACATGATCTGCTGACACCGGAAATGGTCCTTTTCAGCGTTGTGGTCTGTTTTTTATATTTTATCGGGGGAAGGGGGAATATAGACTCAGGTATACACCCACCTCATCTCCTGACGTGTTTCGAGCAATCATTTTTTTCTTTTTTTGGGGGGGGGGGGCAGAGAAAGGAAACGAAGTGAGCTAATGGAAAAACTCGAAGGGCTAGGGAGAGCGTTGAAACGAGTTCTTCTTTGCCTTCTTCTGCACATATCTCACCGTTTTTTCTGCACCTACTGCTTGCTCGTCTCGACGGACATAGAACCTGCCACGCACTTCTACTCCAGTTCACCCCCCTCCTTTTACTAACACGTAGTCAGAGATTTGTTTCAAACCAGTGCGTAAATGTCACTTGGAGCACCTGGCTACAGTTATCTAGAAGTATTTTGGATCTGAGTTATATTACACCTTCAGTGCACTTTTGCTTCAAAACGGGAAAAACAAGTTTTGATGGCAACGAACAGGAAAATGCTTTTGAAAGGGCTTTTAAAAACGTTCCGATTGCATGCGCGAATTATGGAGATTCACGTGATGGTCATGCACTCCGGGAAACTGGATCCGAGATGGATCGTGATATCGATAAGTTACCCAAGACATCCAGCGTGCTCCAAGGCTGGCCTCTTCGAGTCACGCTCCCGTGCACGCGTTAGTTTGGTCTTGTCACGCGTTACATTCCTCCTCACTTGGCGCTTATGTGGAGGTAACATGGTTTTAAATTTATGTTTCAGAGTCAGGTAAAGTAAAATTTCTCGAAAGAATCAGTGGTTTAAAAGACCACAGATCTCTCTAGTGTCCTTTGCTCGCCGTTGTTGTTGTTATTATCCGGAAACAAGACTGTTTCTCATGTGTAGAACTTCTTGACACCAGCGAATATTCTAGACCATAGAAAAACGAAGAAAGCGGCTACACAAAGATCGATGTAGCCAACGAAAATTTGCATAGTTTCGGTAGCGAAGGTCCAGGTAACCACAAAACAAGAAACTTCTCACTTACCTTTTGAGAATGATAAGCTTGGCTCCATTCTCTTTCCCGGGTCTCTTAACCTTTCAACTACTAAGATCCGATAGTTAATTCTCCCCTCTAGCTGCTACACATTTCCTTTTAAATCGATAATGAGAATTTGGTATTTGATTAAGACCATTTCTTCTACCAGGTAAGTTTGAGTATTCTCATTACCTGTTTGCTTGGTGATGTATTTGAGTATTCTCATTACCTGTTTGCTTGGTGATGTACTCATTTAATGGGGAGAAGTTGCATGTTAATCACTTCTGAAAGTTTTAATAAGAGGATTTTTAGTTGTTGAGTTTACTGTGCTAACGCCACTGAAAAATATTAAAAAGGAAATTCCAACGTGGAAAGTGCGGACTATCCCTGAGCTTAATAAAGCGTCAATACTACCAGTTATAAGCAGTTGACATTTGTCCATAGCTGTAATTAGAGTTAATCTGTAACCATCTCTTGGTCTTTTTTTCTCTTTTTTCCGTTGTTATTGATATGGATCAGATATTAATAACATGACCTGATCCTTTAGATATTTTATAGCATCACCTAATTCTTAGTAGTATAGGCTTGAAAAGAACTGCGTTGTAAAACTTTCTTTGTTCAGAACTCTGGTGTTACCTGGACGTACCAGTACACAGATTAAAACTTACTTTGAAGATAAGTTTATTGTGAAAGTTACTGTCTCAACGATATTTCACAGCCGTAATATATCCCGACCCTCGGGTAGCCAGCGAGTGTTCCCCAGGAGGAGCCCTCCAGAGCGTTTTATTTGTTTCCCCGGTCCATCCGTTTTAACAGAATTAAAGGGCTAAATACTTTCATTATTTTGTAATCCTCGAGGAGTCGCTTGACGAAACCAAGCAAAGGTTGTGTTGGAGACTACAACCCCTGACGTCGTCGGAAGCCATCGTTATTCATCAAGGGTTAAGGTTAAGGGTTAGAAATTTAATTCAAGGCTTTTCCACGATAAGATCTCGATAGAAGCGGAGATGGTGGCAAAACACGCCTACCTGTAGATCTGAGAAGACGCTACCTCCTAGTGAAATATATAGGGAAGATCGGGGGCGGGTGCTATGGCAAACACACGGGTAAGGATTTCACATTTTTATCTTCATCTCCGTCTTCATCATCTCCATCTCCATCTCATCATAATCCCAATCGTCGTCGTCATCGTTATTGCTATTGTCATCCTCATCATCATCGTGTGAAAACAGGTTTTTTGCCTTAACGAATTAACGGATGGACGGAGAACAACCTGATTAACTTCGTCTGAGTAAAGGCTTTTCTGGGGGTACCCACTGGCTGCAGGAAGGTCGGGATCTATGACGGTTGTTGACTATATTTAAGACATTGACTGAACAACAACAAATTTGGCTCTAACGCAAATTTATTCTGTAAGTATCACGGGACGGTCTGGTTTGGACCAAACAAAACTCTACAAAACAGCTATATTTAAGCCTAAGGTACAAAGGATTAGGTAATGCTATGAGTTAATTATAAGCTCGTTCCCAGGGTCTTTTCACCCCAACTTCACCCCTAACTAAGGGAAAAGGCCCTGGGAACAAGGTTGCAGGAATTTCCCCTTTTACAAGATAAATCGCTTTCAAAAAGCTCAGGTGGATAACAACTACACAAAATACCATGACAGGTGACGGTTACAATTTAACACTGATTACAGTTATGATCTAATAACGTCAATAACAACTGTTTACGGCTGTCTTGGAACTGATAGCATTTAGGTATTGCTAAACTTAACAAAATCTCGCAGTTTCTACGTTGAATTTTATATATATTTAGCGCTAGCATAAAAACTTGATAACTAAAAATCCTATCGTGACAATCATCATCGTCACCATCATCGGTATCGTCATTTTAATCGTCATCGTCAAACATATTCATTAGGTTTCGCTCGAGCCCCCCGCTAACTCGAACTGGTACAGGATCCGATTTCTCTTGGATTTAACCTATTTTCCCCATCATTTCGATCAGCTGACGAATTCGGTTAACTCGAAATCCCCGTTAACTCAAACTACTTTTACTTCATTTGGTTAAAATTTATTCTGATTACCAGAATTTTCAGTTAAAACGTGGGTGAATAAACGCAAAGATGTTGGAACTTAGCAAATTGGCACGTCCCAATCTTAAATCACGATCGATACGAACGTGATAACATTCAAATCGTACGGTGGCCCTGAGGTGCAGGTGTACGGTGGCCTTGAGGTGCCATCCACTATTTTAGCGACTTTTTTTGGCGACTGCTTTGCCGCTGGACGTTTTATTACGGGCTCACTCCATCTGCGTGGCAAACTGTGAAAATGGCGGAAGATATGAGTAAGTAGGACCGTGAAATTCTCGAGGTAAATACTTTATATTGCTTTCTTGTATGTTTTATTAATTGTATAAATTTGCGCATTCACAGACTGCAAACTAAAGCTAAGCATTAAATTGTAATGTGTCCCCTGCTCACCTGCACTGAGAAGCACCAGAATTTAAATGATCAGAAAATCTGTAACTTCTATCGAGCCTTCTTAAATTCGAGCTGATTTACTGTGACTTTCCACTCATCACGAATAATTATCAATCAATCAATCCGACATTCGATTAATCAATTGGGTCAGATAAATTTTTTTCTTTGTATTTCCCTTCTGTCAATCTTAACAGTTTTCTTTTTTGTCCATTAATCTATTTCTTGTGTATTTCCATGTGTTGATCATATATTCCTTATTTTCTTAATCATGCAGTACCATGTTCAAACGGGAGATGCAGATACTATTGAAAAAGCTGAATCATCTGATCAGGAATCATTTAACACTATGGATGGTCTAGCACCAACTCATTCAGATAGTGGATTATTGGCTCACAGTGATCAAATCGAATCGTCAATGGATTTTCTCGAACCTGCTCATTCAGATGTTGGATTATTGGCTCACAGTGATCAAATTGAATCGTCCCGTACCAACTCATTCTGATAGTGGATTATTGGCCCATAGTGATCAAACTGAATCATCTAACACTATTATTTATGCCCCAAGACCAACTAATTCAGACAGGTAAATGTTTCAATAAGTCAACATCTATAATTATCTATTAGTATAGCAGATTAACAAGTTATTAAGACAGAAAATCTTTCATTTCCAAAGCGATAGCTTGACAGACAGACATGAAATATATAGGTGAAATGTCCAATTTTCTGAAAATCAATTAAATTAAATGAAATTCAAGCAAATAACTACTTTAAAATGTCTTTTTTAAATTTAAACTCCTATGAAGTTTCAAGCCATTTGGAGCAGTTTTAGTAGAGTTATTAACTTTTTGGTTTCACCTAATGAAAACTAAGGAAGGTAGCACATTAATACTCAATCAATACCATGACTAGCGAGGAAAATTTGCTTGAAATTCAATCTAAATTAGACATTACAACAAGTTAATTCCACTGGGACCTTTTACAATACCTGGCTACACTGCTTGATTAATCTTCTTTCTGTTCAATTGTTAAGCTGTTGATGGAAGATCCATTTTAAATTAAATCTCATTTAATTTGTCAGAGTTTTGAGGATAAGAAGAGCATATTTAATGACTGATATGATAAAAAAATTTAAAGATCACATGATAATGAAAGAGCCCGTGTCAGTGGATATGGTCAATAGTTTTGGAAATGAAGAGCATGCTGTAGACACAAATGGTGTTTTTCTGGATGCACTTTCAGCATTTTGGAGCTCATTCTTTGACTCATGTTCAGTTGGCGAGGAAGAGAGTCCGGTTATACGACATGACTTTCAGTCCACTGAATGGGAATCTGTTGAGAGAATAGTTGTGAAAGGTTATCAGCAGCTGAAGTTCTTCCCAGTGAAATTAAACAAGGCATTCTTTGTCGCAGCCCTGTTTGGAGAAGGAGACTTCACAGATGAACTGCTGTTAAACTCTTTCCATGGCTATGTTAGTCAAGATGAAAGGGATTTGGTTAACCTTGCCATCGATAACAAACTCACTGAAGAACAACAATAAGAGTGGCGTGAGTTTTTGGATCTGTTTGGCTGCAAGTTCCTCCCTAGGCCTGACCAACTGAAAAGCATAATCGTAGAAGTTGCCCATAAAGAAATAATTCAGTGTCCTCTGTATATTACTGATAGCTGGAGCTCACCTCTTAGTGTCATGAGGAAAGCAGATTTTCCAAATATCCACCAAGTAGAAAAGTTATTCGAGGAAGCAAAACCAACCAACAAAAAAGTCTTGGGACTTATATCTGCAAATTGCATAAATTCTGCTGAGAGAGAAGCAGTGTCATATTTCCAGCGCTATATCAGAGGAGTGGATAGGGAAAAACTCACCAAGATTCTAAGATTTTGTACAGGGTCAACAATGAGTTGTGTTCAGAAGATCACATTGATGTTCACACATTTGGATAGTTTCCAAAGAAGACTTGTTGGTCATACATGTGGCGCAGTTTTTAGAGTTGCCTGTCACCTACCAATCTTTTCCCCAGTTGTGAGGAAATGAACAACATTTTCTCCACCGGATATTGGGAAATGGATTTTCTTTAGTTTGGAGTTTACATAAAATTCATGAAGCAAGTTAACATTTTGGAAATGTTACTATGACTTACTTTTAGCAGTTATTTCTGTGAACATTTTTAAGTAGTTATTGTTATATTAATTCAGAGAATATTTTGAAATATTACAGAGACTTATTGTTCGCATTCATTTGTGTGAACATTTTAAAGGTAGTTATTGTTATATTAAGAGAATATTTGAAAGATTACAGACTTATTGTTAGCTTTCATTTGTGTGAGCATTTTAAAGTAGTTGATGTTATATGAAGAGAATATTTGAAAGATTACAGAGACTTGTTGTTAGCTGTCATTTGTGTGAACATTTTAAAGGTAGTTGTATAATTCATTAATGTTAATGGAAATTCCTGGGATTCCTGAAATTGGCATTGACATACAAGCTTAGTGACTGTCTTATAAGTGTTTGATATAAACAAAGTGACGATAATTGTATCTAGTACATAGGTTGAACCTTCCGAAGAAAGGAAAAGCTTTGAAAAATTTAAAATAATGCTCCAATAAACAGGTAACTAATAGAAAAAAGTTAAAAAAAAAGCCATCTCTGAAAGAACCTTAACTATAACAATCCTATGTCTCATTAATTGCATGATTTCTTTCTGGTTAAGCTTATATAATGTTTTTACTACACTTATTTCTGATAAACACAACAATGCACAGTCTATGAGTTAGGCTCAGTCTCCAGCCATTCGAGTTTTGTGCACCCACACTACTCTAAGAATATTACTGGTGCACGAAACCCCTATGTCTAAGCAGTCAGTATT